GGACGGGGCGGGGCGGGGCCCGGCGGGAGCGGGGCCGGCGCGTGGGGGGCGCGCGCTGGCACCGTCCGGTGCGCGCAGCCCCGACGGCCGTGGAGCCGTTTTCGACCCCTGTGAGTCGGTAGAGAAAACCATCGGAGGTAAAACTAGAGCTTTCTTTTGTCGTAAAGTTCGTATTGCAGCATCGGTTGTAAATTTCATACTAACAGTTTGAAAGGAACTTGTCTTTTACGGTAGCTGACATGGATGAATGGATCTTTGTTTGTAGCTTTAATTTGTGGCAGTGTCGCTGCAGTCTGGGGTAGGACAGCATGAGATTCTGGGTTTTCAGAACAAAACGGCATGAAGTTCCACTGGTCCCACAATAGCGTAGTGGAGAACCACCACTGGAAGTTTCCTCAGCTTTCAGGGTGACAGCACGTTTTCAGAAACATGACATTCTCTCTGCTCTGCTTCTTTTTGGGTAATGTTACTTCTTTATCATTTTGTGATCTTTTGGAACATTGTCAGGTTTCGCTCTGAGAAACTCTGCTCTGATCTAAACTATAGCAGAGCTATACGGAGGGGACACAGTTGTACCCTCTGATTTCAAGCTCTTTGTCTCTTTCATCTTTTCTGTCTGGCTCCCAGAATCTTTTCTCCCAGGAAAGAATATTGTTGACATAAAGACAGAGAATACTACTAAGGATATTTTATGACTGACATTTTAGATAGCTGGATACTTAACGCGCCTCTCATTTGTTTCACAATCTTTATGCATTTCTACAACAAATCAGTTTAGAATTATTATCCACAGCTCTTGGAACTATCAAAAAAAATTAATGTACAGCGAACACGTGGGTTTTTTTCCCGATAAATCTTAACAGGAAGTGGGTGAAATGAAGCACCAGTGTGTGCTGTGCCCCCTCCGCCCGCTGCCGCAGCCCCGGGCTGCTAGCGGGGGAGTGCTGTAGTTTCCACAGCAGCCAGTTTGTTTGCCTTCCGTGCAGCTCGAGCCACCTCCTGCAGTATTTAGTCGCACATTTAAAAAGAAACTGTGCTGCTGCTGAGGAGGCTGAGAGACCCTTGAGGGGTCTCTGAGGCTGAAAGACCCTTCCAAGGAAAGGGAACAACGGGGCACTTTGCCAGGCTGTGAGCTTCAGAGCAGTTCAGGCGAGGAGCGAGCTCGGTCGAGCGGTGAGTGAGGGAAGTTAAGGGTGGCGATGCTGAATGGAGTGCGAGCAGAGAGAGCTGTGTGTTGCTGTGCACTTCAGTGCATTTGGGCTCAGGAGCTGTCTCAGGAACGCTGGAACGCGAGTATACTGCAATAGGAAAATTTATAATCAAACTACTTTGTGCAAATTCGGGGCATTGGTTTCACCCTCCACTAAATAAGTGTCCTCAGTATGCATTGTTCTTCTTCTTTAATCCTTTCTGGACTTTCCCATTTCCTTATTTGCCTGCTGAATTTTTTCCTTCAGCTTTTCAGGTCCGGTTTTGATTTCGGGTCTGGTGTTTTGTTTTGTTGTGTTGTGTGGTTGTGGTTTTTTTTGTTTGGGTTGGGTTTTCTTTGTGGGGTTTTCTGTTTTGTTTTGGTTTTGGTTTTTTTTGGGGGGGTGTTGTTTTGTTTTGTTTGGGGTTTTTTTTGTGTGGTTTTTTTTTGGGTTGTTTGTTTATTAGAAAAAAAAATCACTTAATCAAGCACTGGAACAGACTGCACTGGGAAGTGGTGGAATTCTCATCCCTGGATGTGTTCAAAAGGCGTGTCAGTTTAGAACTTGAGGATATGGTTTAGTGGTGAACACAGCTGTGCTGCATTAACAGTTGGACTCAATGGTCTTAGAGGTCTTTTCTGACATTGATAATTCTGTGGTTACATTTCTTTTTGCAGTCTAGATTTTATCCATTTCTCCAACCATATTCTTGAAAGGTGTTTGCTTCTCCAACCTCTGTGAGGCTATTTATCTTTTATATTTGTTCACTTTTTGTTTTGTTTTCTGTGATTGCTTGTTTAGTAATTCCAGCTTTCTCCACAGAATTCCAGCTTTCCCTTCTCCTTCCTATTGCATAGTCCATCTTTTCCTGTCAGATCCACTTCTCTCCTCCTAAATTCCACTCACAAATTCTTCTGTTTCTTCATTCTCCCACTCCAAACACATCAGCACATTCTTCCCTACACATCAGCAAAGACTTGGGGAACTTTGAGCAAAAAATCTTTTTTTCATATCAGTGTCATTTTGCAGGTAAAAAGAACAAAATATTTCTCATCCTTATAGACCTGTCTTCTCCCCTTCTTGCTTTGGCAGCCAAATATAATGCTATTTCTGTTTTCAGGTTCAATATTCCAAGAACTGACCTGAATTATATCCAGAAACTTTCCAAATAGCAATGGCCAGACAGTTGCAAGATCCATCTAAACTTCATCCCTCAGAATGGTACACTGCAAACAAGATGCAGCGTGCCACTACAGAGTCCCAGAAATCCAGGTCAGAATGCATGACAGCTGAGAGTTGCAGGCTGGTGGATGAAATAGAAAAGACAACTCAA